TCAATACAACCACCGTACTGCATTTGTGCATACTTCGCAGTACGAGATCGCATCAATGTTCGCTACTTTTCAGTCAATACAACCACCGTACTGCATTTGTACATACTTTGCAGTACGAGATCGCATCAATGTTCGCTACTTTTCAGTCAATACAACCACCGTACTGCATTTGTACATACTTCGCAGTACGAGATCGCATCAATGTTCGCTACTTTTCAGTCAATACAACCACCGTACTGCATTTGTACATACTTCGCAGTACGAGATCGCATCAATGTTCGCTACTTTTCAGTCAATACAACCACCATACTGCATTTGTACATACTTCGCAGTATTCACGTAATAACCTCATAATATATCATTGTATATACTTAATTCATACATACACGTATGCAAATGCGATGTGTTCAAACTAAGCCGATAAATTTGAAGCAAAAGTGATAAGATTTAACCGGAAGAAATCTAGTTTCCAAACAGAGTGGAGGGAAAGTTACAATCCTGTTCCATACTCTGACTATATGCCACGAATAACCACCAGTTCGTAAATAGGAATCGGATGATTGTTTCTCAAATTCATCCTCCAATGCCATTGCTTGTTCATCAATTGAAGTTTTCAAATTGATGTTTTCAAATTGAAATAATTGACACATAGTTGCAAATGTTCAGATAATTGTATTCATAATGAGGCCGAGATACTTGATAATGCATGTATTTAATCCTTACATTGTACATGTGTAGCCTTTGTCAAAATAAAGAAGGACCATTGCAGGTAATGTCTCAAAATTCAGAAAGTTAGCCAAGCAGGCAATAACTGTAGTATTTGTTATATATTTTCTAGTTGTGTCACATTCTGGACACAAATATCTATATTTACCCAGAATGCAACATTTTATTTTATGTTTACCCATGATGCACTGTGTTATTTTTTAATACAGAACCCATTATTGCAATTTCAGATGCTATCCAATCTGTCTAATACTACATGAATTACAATAATGCTGAAATATGGTTTTCAATGTAGGTCATATGACTACTATTGTAGGTCATGTGATCATTAGACTGACCACGCCTACATGTCACATGATGTAGGTCAGGAGATATTAAATGCATTTTTGTCACAAATTTACAATGGTTCGATGAACAATTATAATTATAATTTTAATAGTGTACTTTTGAAAGCGCTTGGAATCAATTTATTACCTGAAAAGAAGAGAGAAAAAAAAAATGTGTATTTCTCAATATGCATTCATGTGTTTAATTTATTGGTTCTGCAGACATTATTTCCACAGTGTTGACGATTGTATTTGTCGTCAGTGAAAACGACATTTCTGCATCACTTGTTTTCATCGATTGCAATTAAGTTTTAGGACTTGGAAAAAAATTTTTTTATCAAGGTGCTGGATTGTGGTTGTTAATTTTTAAATTTACCTCTTAATATGGATGCTTCCATCTACTGGTGAAATCGAGAAATGATGGCAAAAGAAGTGACAACTCAGTGCAATTTAAAAGATTCTTAGGGAGTCTAAATCTGTATTCTGTGCAAATCGCAAACAGATCAAAACTCTCATTTGTACTTGCCATCAGGAAAGCGCATTAGATTATGGGAAAATCACTGTTTACGAACATAAATCTCACATAAGCAATGTGCGACAACCACCACACGAAATATACAAGTTCTATTTCTAAAAGCACGTAATGACTACGTGTGTTTTCATTATCACCCTCTATAACTACAGCAGCCCGTACTCTCACTGGAGTAAAGTTAGACGTAAACTATGACGTACGCTTTGACCTTTTTCTACAGCTGCATATCGATTTAAACTTCGTGGGAATTGGTTTGAGCAATAGAGATTTAACCTCTGCTTTTATGAAATTTAAAAGACTAATTTTTCATTTTCAATCTTTTTTTTTCCAGTCTGGTTAATCTCTTTCAATCACAAAAATTATTGTTTTTCAAGGTAGAACAATTATTGCGACAAATGTGTTTTTTTTTTCTCAAAAGGGAAATTTGCATTAAACAAAAAGAAATTTATGATGTAAAAATTTTATAATAGTTTATAATAGAAATAAGCAAATCTTAACCCAAACCAAACGACTTTGTAAAATAAATGCTTTAATAATATGCTCTGTGTTTAAGATGTTAATCTTTTTAAACTGTACGAAACATTACGTTGAATGTGAAAATAATTAAGGCGGAGTAGTTAGCCATTTGTCAAAACTCATTTTTATCACACTTAGATTTGAACTTTGGGGGGCGGGGGGGGGGGGGTTTGAATAATTATTTCTAACGGAGAGGAAAACCTAAGAATGAGGACTGAAAAAACAAACTTGTAGACAAATAGAGAAAACAGTAACTTGCATGAAGAAAAGAGGACCTACAAATTTTAGAGAAAAAACAAATTACATTTTAACTTAAAGATGAAAGGAGAAGGTCGCAAAAAATAATGAACCTCAGAAATCTAACCCACCCCTATTGGAAATAATGGTTTGGCCTTTATTGGTGCATTCTAGCATTCACTTGTACATCAGTATGTGTGGAAATATTTCATGATTTTATGGACTTGATTTAATTATTCATAAAGACCATATACCAGATGCAGTTAATCTTTAATCTTTTGATTTTTTGCCAATTTTTGACTATACATCATGATTAAAATAATTGTTAATTTCATGAAAGAAGGACATTTGATGTGATTGAAACAACAGCGGTACAGGTACACTGTCGTCATGTTGCAAAGCTTATCAAATTCTGAAAAATTTGTACTATTAAAATCCTGCGTGAAATACTGTTAAAAACCATTTACTTTCACTATTTTGATAATTTATGCAATTTCGCTGTGGAAGTTCACTTGGATTTAATTTAGCGAATTTTACTTAGCAGCAAAACACAGCGAAATTAAAAAAAACTGCGAATAATTAATGCTTTTACAGTATGCAGGGACTGAATCAGAATGTCTCTTTTACCAACTTCATCGACGTTCGTGACATTTCCATTTGTACACACTATCTAAAAGCTTTTATTGATTAAAATCAAGCGTTGAAGATC